TTTTTTTTTTTTTTTTTTTTTTTTTTTTTTTTTTTTTTTAAACTCTGCCCTCCAGAGTAAGTGCATGATTGCCTTGATCTGGCTGGAAACTAAGTCAGACTGACTTCAGCCCAACTGAAAGGCATGCAGTTGGCAAAAAGGGGATGATTTGAGGGCAAGACACACTGGAAAGTTCCTGAAAGGTGTTGTTGTATTTTGTAATACAGACGTATGTGATTTTATGTATGGTGGAAGTATGATTGTGAAGCCAAAATGTACAAATACACTCTTCCTCCAGTTGAAATAGTCACTCACTTGCTCTTAAGAGGCATGTGATTATACTAGTAAATACTTGTAATTTGTATTTAACAAAGAATTTTTAATTTATATTTAACGAAGACTTAATCATTTTATGTTTCTATTGAAAAATTTCTTAAAGATCACCTGTGATGTAATATGACAGTTTTTCAGAGCTAGGAAATTCTAAGCTCTGTCCTGACGATAACTGGTAGGAATTTTGATACTGTATTTAGAACTCAGTTGCTTTGTTTTCACCAGAAGCATTCTTCTGGAAGGCTAGAATATTTCAGGGAAAGCACAGGTTTTTTACAAAAAATTGTCAAAAAACAACAAAGGAAAAATATTTCCAAATATAAAAATACTAATAAGCTCAGGAAAAAAAAAATACTTTTCCGTGATAAAAGCATTGACCAGAGGCTCCCTGCTAATCCTTTAGTGAACACATTCTTCCCTGGTTATAAGCTGTCACGCACAATGAGGACAGCTAAATTTTTAATCAGCCTTTGTTTAGTTAGGGTGAATTCTGTTACGCTAAAAATGTTCTGTTATTATTCTGTGTAAGATAAATCTTCCGGTTCTCAATTGTTTTAGAAGCTTTTCAGCTGCAAATTTATCTCCTAGAATGTGAACTAAATTTACACATTGTACTGCAGATGGCCTTACTTGATGCCTCTGATTTATCCATAGTCTTTTTAGAAACACTTCTGATGAATTCAATGATTGAACTTGCAGCATTTCGTTTCCATTAATCTAGACTTCCATCTTTGGATTTTTGTAACTGGTAAGTCCTAACTTTGAAGTAAAATCTGGAATTTCATACTTTATTTTTTATCCCATCAGTATTACTTAAGAAAATCTGATTATTTTTTTTCTGCAACATTCTGGCTCTTCGTATTGACATTTCTCTACATTACGTAAAGAATGGAATTTTATCAGTACATTCCTACTATTGTTTCAGTATACTTAGTAATACTAATACTTAATAAGTACACACTCAGAAGCAAACATTTCCAGACTCCTTTGACTCTACTGTTTACTTTTCTACCTAAGTCATCGCCCTTTTCAGCTTTTACTGAAATTACAATGCCTTCTCTGATTTAATATCAGGGTATGAAGAACTGTACTGCAGTCTCTGAAAAGTCCAGCTGGACTAAACTTGTTGAATACTATTATGCATAGTATCCTCACTGTGTTAAATATAGCCTTTTATATCTGATATTCAGACATTTTCTGGTGCTCTAAGGCACTCAGGGCAGATTTACAGAAGCATATAGGCTTTCTGAGGTCTTACTTCTAGGCTTTTCATTGCCAAACAGAATCTCCAGACATGAATAAAATACTTTGTCTCAATACTATCTGCAAGAAATTATCACACATCCTAAAAGAGAAAGACTTTATGTGACTTCAAATGCAGTCACATAAAAGCTGGATCACAGTTTTCAGAGCATTCCTCTGGTAGACAGTCTGACTCCAAATCTGATCCTGCAAGTTTAGAGAATGGCCATTTAAGTAGACAGAGGTCTTCAATCCAGCAATACACACAGTGACGCTTCTATTTACCCAGTGAATGTTATTCATGCAAAACAGAACAGCTTCTATCAACCACATGAGAAAACTATTCAAGCTGGTTGTTGCAGAATTAATTTAAAAAGTGAATTTTATAGACCCTCAAATGCCAGCAGTCAAAGGAGGAAACTAAACCAAATACACTACTCACTTTGTCTGCATTTTATGTGGGATTTACTCCAGCAAATGTATTAGAAAGCCTACCAAGTTGGACCTTGCAAGCTAGGTAGGCAGAGCAATATCTCTATTAGTTATAAGTATCAATGGGGTTCAGGTCCTGACGTGACAGATGTAATCCAGACATGACTGTCATGACTGAATAATTCTTAAAAGGCAACAAAATATTTTTTAGAAAAATATTTTTAACTGTTAATTCCTCTTGAATTAGGTCAGCTTAGCAAGAGATTTGAAGATTTTGAACTTTGGGACAGGACACGTTCATATTTCAAAGTACTGTTGCAGAGCAAACTTTCAAATATGCTGAAAACATTCCACAAAGCAATACAGTAAAGCACCGCACACACCCAGATTACTCACTCACCCTTCATGAGTACCTTTATCATTGATGTTAGCCAGTCTATCATAATGTCTTTGAGACAGAAGGTGGGCATTAGCTAAGATCACTGCCTCTTTGGTGGTCACCAGCACAGTGCAATGGGAGAGGAAGATCAGAACAAATCCCGCTGAACTCTTCAACAGCATCTTTCTTCAGAATCAGCCCTCCTGCAACAATCCACAGCTATAATACAGACTGCAACTGAAAATGGAAACATTTATGACCTTTAGTACAGTTCTCTCTCTTTTAGGAGAAAGGTATTGAAACACCTGGTTTCAGTGAGAGCCTCTGTCAAAAATGGCTTCTTCCATCTTTCAAGTGCATCTCCCTTTCCTGATGTTTCACAGTACTTCCAGCTGGTGGTTGTTCTGACATGGAGCCCTGTGTTGTATCACTTACACTGTACCTAGAACAACCCAATTATCTGTAACAACACGTAACAGAAAATAATGTAATGACATACCTTAGAAGGATGTCTTACATCTATCAGAACTGAAGTTTGCTTATTCCCCATGCATGTGAATAGTATTGAAGCAGAGGCACTGATGGACAAACTGGCACAATCAGGAGCACTAGCTCTTCCAACTCTCTGAATTTCAAACAACACTCAATCCCATGCCTTTCTAGTACCGTGAATATTCCCATACACTGGAGAATTCACTTCAGCAATTCTGGACTTGATTTTGGATGAATTTCCATCCATAGCTATGAAGAACAGGTCACAGGCTTAACTCACAGGCTTAAATCAGATCTGGAAAAAAAGCTCAATAAACAAAACAAAAAGGAACTCTTCCACTTTTCTTCAATCTCAAGACACACAGGGGTTCAATATTTGGAATCAAAAGTGCTTTGAGTCTCATTTTGTCCTCCTTTTTGGGTTACTTCTTTAGTAACTATTCATCCAATACAGAAAGAAGTCTTAGGCTGTTATTGGGGTCCTCACCTAAACACATTCCAGTCTGACTGAAGTATTTCTGTATCAGTGAAAGCTCAAACTGAATCAGAATAGCATCTCCCATGCTCTCCAAGGACAAATTTGCTTAAAATTTAGCCAAAGCCTTTACATCATATATGGTTGGACTTATAGGTCATTTCCAACCTTGTGATCTTATAGGTAATTTCCAACGTTGTGATTCTATGATTCTGCGATCAAGGCTGAATATATATCTCTAGCAAACAGCTCTTTGGTCACAGCATATTTCTTGCCAGCGTCAGCACAGAGCCTACACAGGCCAGATCCTTTCTCCACAGTGGATTACACTGCAATAAAGCCACACTCCTTATGAATCTAAAGATTCAGCAGCAGATCCAGTAAAACAGTTTTCCAGAGTGAAAAAGCATTGAACATGTTTTTAAAAATGTTCAAAATATATCACTGTAATAGAAGTCAGGCTTGAGAATTGGTTTTTGTACTTACCAGGCAGAAAAACAGCAAAACAGAATTTGCTTATTCTACTTACAGCTATACAGTAATAATTCTGATTTACTATTAACATACAATTTCCTATTACATCCAAAGTTGGTTATTTGACATTGAGATACTATAAAAAAAAAAAAAATTCAGCACATGGTTTCCCCTACAGTACTTAAGTTCTGTTATGTTTGCATTTCCTACTGTCATGTACCCCCTTCACTGAAAGCTTCTATTATTATTTTTAAAATTATTAGAAATGACTGTAAATCTAAACCTATCCCACCAACATTATAAAACGTTAGGAAATCTGTATTCGGACCTAAAGCTTCCAGGTTAGCTGTTTCTTTCTTCTAGCATTTTTGAGCAAGTCAGTCCTTTTTCTTCCCTCACATTTACTGAGTCAATTGAAATAATTTACAGATTCAATTAGTTCTAGAATAGAAATTGGTATTATAAGTTATTAAGAAAGCAACTGAGGAAAACAGCAGGAAGATACCTTACCTCTTACAGTGAAGCTTGACAAAGAAACAAGTGCACACGAATGTATGAGCTCATACTCTACAGTTGTACTTTGCCTGCTACTCAAGTTCAGGTGAATAAATCAGCTCCAACACACTATCTCAAATGTAGAAGCGCAGCAAAATTGCATCTTCATTATTTCACTCTGGTGGACTTTGCTCTGACATATTACATCTGCAAGTAAGAATATATGAATCATAAAGAACAAAGTTCTTCCATAAGGATTAAAATAACAGCATAACTAAACTAATTACTTAGATTAATAAATAGATCAATTATTTTCCCAATTAATGAATAAACATAGCAAAGAAATTTTATTTCAGAAAACTACGTATGTTGTTTATACACCTGAAGTTAGATGCTGAAAAGTACTACATCGTTTTGCACTGGTAAATTGACGAGATGCTGTATTGCTAATCACATTTAAAATCCTATAGTCAACTTGTTTTTAAAGCATAGGGAACAAATCAATCAAACTGACCCCAAACCATCTTGTTCCTTCAGGCTCATTCACATCAAAGCATGAAATTAAAACATAAAGCACTACTTCAAAGCTATAAAAAGAGAAAAAGCAAAAGCAGAACAGGCTGGTCAATAGGTTTCTATTTTAGTTTATTTGGATTATCAAGAGTTGATTAACATTCATTTACATCAAAAAGGTAATGAAGTAGATGAATTAATTGTCACCGTATTTTCTTGTATCTGAAGGTTGTGTTATCTATCTGAATGACTTCTAGATGACATCTAAACTAGAGTAAGATGAGCCAACACATTTGTACTCTTTGATCCAACCTGCAGCCCAGTTTGAACACTTTCTACTCTGAAAAAAAAAAAAAAAAAAAAAAAACCAATTAAAATGTAGAAAACATGTAAGTCCTGTGTAAGTTTTACTTGAGGATTTGTTCTATGCGTAATTCCTGTTCAATTGTTCATTCTCAGTGAAATCACAACATATGCAATATATTGCAACAATGAAATACATACATTTAACAGAATGTATTATGAAAGATTTATCTATAACATTTAAAACTCACTGATATTTCTTTTCATTTTTAAAGAACAAATAACACTTTACTATACATGTGAATGACCACAAGGAGTCAGAACAGTACCTTTTCTCTGGCACTGGTCAATCACAGAGAAAAGCTGAAGAACACACATTCCATGCTCATTGCATTATCACAGATTTATAGAATTGTTTGACGCTTAAAGGTCATCCAGTCCCCTGCAAAGAACAGTGACACCCACAGCTACACCTGGTTGCTCAGAGCCCTTCCCATTCTGACCTTGAATGCCTCCAGGGATGGGGCTTCCACCACAACATATTTAACAAGTAATGCACAAGTAATTGCTCACCACTCCCCAAATGATGCCAAACTAGCCCCCTGAGCAGCAAAGAGAGAGATCATGAACTCCCAACCCCTTCAAAAACTCTTTCCATTTGATATCATATGGTACAGAATATCCCTCTGGCTCGTTTAAGTCAGCTGTCCCAATTCCATTCTCTCCCAGCTCCTCAGGTCCTTCACTGTGACTAGCCTTGGCTCAGTAGGCAACTATAAACATCAGTGTTATCAACATTGTTTTTTTCCTAGAACCAAAACACAGCATCATGCCAGACATTGTGAAGAAAACAATTCCATCCCAGTTGAAACTAAGACACTGATATTCATGTTTGATGTATCTAACTTCTGGTTAGTATCAAGCTTTATAGGTAGTGACTAGAGTATGAAAACACTGTGCTGTATCTTACTAAATAATAATACTTTGAAGGCATACAGATCTTGCTGAAATAACATACTAAGGAAAGGCAGAAGGTGTCTTCCCACTCTGACAATTTAAAATATACTTCAGAAAATACCACTGACTTTAATGGTGGCAGGTTTCCTATCGCCTAGCTATAAACTGGGATATATGTTTGTTTTGTGCTTTTGATTTCTGCATTTTCCATCACTGTATACCTCCTCCCCTTTTTATTTACTACCTTCCCCTTTGCTTCTCTTTGATTTCCACTCTTCTATCTCAACTGGAAGAGTAGAAATGAAGTGGGAAGCATTTAATTAGAAGAGAGCAGGTAACAGCACCTGTTTATTTGCGCTGAGAAAGGCAGCTATTTATGTACCTGAAAACTTCAAACAACAGAAACCATTACATATTACACCTCAGTGGGCATGAGTGACAGGCTGGGCGAGGGGACTCTGCAAGGTTCAGGGAATGTACCATACCTGGTGTGCTTGGCTGTGTTCCGCTGTGAAACGGGTCAGTCGCAGGGCAATTCTGGCATACGACCTGTCCTGCAGCTCTGCCAAATGAACCACCTTTCCCTAGCCTTTTGGCTATGTCCTCAAAGTGCTGGGTTTAATTTCTGTAAGTGAGTAATTAGGCAGTTTTTAGTTAACATCATTTTCTAATTATATTAACAATTATACGTTTGTTCCAGCAAATACTGTAGTTGTTCTGAGTATCTATGATATTCTGCTCTTGGTCAAGTATTTTGAGACCATTTTTTTAGTCCTGAAAATTATGTAATCATGGTAAGTTAGGACTACTTCACATTGGTAAGGTTTTGTGTCATATACAGGTTTTAAAATAATCATTATTGTATTGACTTGTTAGTCATATTAATTAAGATATTTAATGTCTCAACCCAGTGACCGCATATTCCTTCCCCATATGCTGACATTTCAATTATTCCTCTGAATCTGCTTGCCTTTAATTGGCAAATATTATTTTAATTATTCCAATGCAACTCTTCTTATTTTTAAGTTATTTTTAAATAGTTCTGTTTATTTTAATAAGTATTTAAACAAATATTTAAACAAGTTAACTTACCTTTAAAAAGGGAGAATTTGACTGAAACTGAACAACTTACTTCATCAGGCTCTGACGTTAGTTGCAAAGACAACCTGGATACCACAGGACAGCTAATTGGCCTGTTTTTGTAAGGGATGTGAAAAGCATTCCTATCTGACCAATACAGTGAAGTTATCAGTTCCAGCAAGGGCAAAGCAGCATTACTTCAAAAGTTAATTTAATTTACCTTAGTAGCTTGGGTACAAATATCAGCAGGTGCCAGTAAATATTATGGCACAGAGTGTGGCACAAGCTAGAAACCTGTGTATCCAGGTACTTCAAAAGGCTTCAAACAGGGGATTTATGGATCAGCACTGTTGGCAGAAATGTGCAAATGCTAACTTTCACACAGCTATCTGTTCAGCAGAACAAGGAACTCAAGGGAGAAAGTTCTAGCAATGCAAACCACATATAAAATATAAAAAAGATCTCACTGAATAGTTATTTCAAACAAAAATTTTGATATACAGAAGACTACTCAGCAGGGCAGGTGGAAGGAGACAGGATGACCCCAGTCTTTAGAGACACTTCTGTGCTTTTGAACAACTTGAACTGGATTGCTCTGCAATCTTGACTAAACGCACTTTTGTATCTTCAAATAGGAACAGTTAAAAAAATGTTTTTAACAATTTTTACTTGCTCCTCTGAGCTGGCAACGGCATGCAAAACACGAGATTGCCTAACAAAGCAGAAACCAGTTATTTTAAACTGCTGAAATTCATGACATATAACACCATTTTCAATACAGCTTCTAAACTTTTTTTATGTATTCATTATTTGTGAGATGAACCTTTATTTGGAGAAATGAAGACATCTATCCCTGACTGAACATAAACCATAGAAATGCTTGCAAGCCCCAGATGACTCCAGTGGAGCATACCAGGAACCTGTTTTTTAAAAAGGGAGAAAAACAAGAGAATCAAAGGACAGTGAGATACATTTTAAAACTTAAATAAATAAAATAAATAAATAAATACAATAAATCCTCCCCACCCCCAGAAGGTTAATAAGGCAGTGAAAAGTATCCAGCATAGATTTATCCAGAAAGAAAAATATTTTTTTTTCTATTTGATAGAGTAATGGTCACTCTGGAAAACAAGAGAATTAAGTAAAACGTACAATACATTAAGTACAAATATTAAGTATATTGCAGTTGAACATTCAAACTTAACATACAAAAAAATCCCTTTACTCTGGAATTTTTAAGGTTAGACATACATTTGAGAGGGATGCTATGGACAAGCTGAATTCAGTAACGTGGAAATCTTGATGTCAGTACAACAGCTTTACCTCGGCTATCTGATCAAAAACAAAGAAAAACAACAATAAAACCAGTTGAATTAACAGAACTAATATTCTATTCAACAGACAATTTTTAGCAGATTCAAATCAGTTAACTATACTGTTCAGTTTAACACATTGTAGCCTAACCTTCAAACACGTGAGTCTAAAAATGACTTTCTCATCTGGGCCAAGAAGCAGCCGGGAGCTTTGTCATGGCAACCATCTCATTTCCAAAGAGACTCCGTGACTTCTGTTGCTCTCCAGCAACCTTGTAAATGGAATAGAACAGCGAAGAAAAACAAGAAAAGGGAGGAGCTTTTCAGAGAATCACACAACCAGCAAGGTTCAAAAAGACCTCCAAGACCATCTACTCTAACCATCCACCTATCACCAACGCTTTATATTGAAGTTATCACATATAAAAAGGTGCAAAACAGCTGTATTTATGAAAGACAACACACACATTTCTTGTAATACTGATTTAAGATTGAATGAGGCAGAATTATTCAGGGGTGTTTCTTTCTTACTAATAAAGCAGGCTGAAAGCAGCAGATTACTATTAGAGTCAGCTACTGAGATTCAAGTTGCCCAATGTGTCTATGGCTCCCCATGAAAAATGTCATTTCCCTTCCCCTCCCCAAAAGGAAAAACTGTACATAAGTTGGTTTTTTAAATGTTCTCAGTGAACTCTGGCTGAGTCTGTATCTTTCTGATGTTCTCTTCAGAGTACAATTGCAGGGTTTGAAAAATTCTACAGTAAAGTAAGACTCAAACACCTTACAAAGAAAGCACTGAAACATGATCAGACCTTCCCATGACAAATGACCCCTCCACCATTAGCTGGCTACCTGGTGATGGGAATAATTGGTTTCTAACACTGAAGCACTTGAAAGCACAGCTGATGTATACAATTATTTCAGCCAGCACATGTTGAAAAGCACTTGTAGAGCAATTTCAACAAGACCTTTGTACTCCTCATAAAAATGAAGGGCAAATATATGTGGAAAAAAAAAAAACCTGTGTAAATAGCACGTGAAGAGAATCGGTAGGGAAACAAACTGAACCAAAAAATTGAATTTCAACAGTACAATGAAATCCAAGAACATTGAGTGGATTACAAGATGAGGTTTCTTAGGGAATATCGACCAAGTGTCTTTAGATTCACAGATGTCATCTGTCAGGGACCCCTACAAAGCTACAGTAGAAATTATTTTCATGAAAGGACTGTCTACATACGTTCATCACATACATTGTGGTTCAGTTCTCTGAAGGCTTTTAGTAAATGTGACAGTGAATGATACACACATTCCACCATGCCTGTCTTTTAATAATCATTCCACCTCTCATTTGAGGTTCTTCTCTTGGTATAGCAATATTTACTATTGAAAAAAAAATATAATCTTTTGAGGAGGCTTAATCTTGGTCCCAAACTCAGGCATTCCTTATTTTCATGGTGTTTAACTACCACAGTGAAGAAATTAGGCCTGTATGAATGCAACTCTTATGTTTCACACCTGTCAAGTTGAAGCAGTTTGAACCACATCTGTAATGTGGATGATCAAATGTGGTAGGAAATCAAACATTCCTCCTTGCTCCCCAAAATTAGTACCAATGTTCAAAATTTGATTTTATTCTGATTCCAGGTATGTGAAATCTTACTGATTATTTCCCAGGATTGTCCTTGCATCTACATATGATCTGCAGACCCATGCCTTGCTGGTCAGCCTTTGAGCTTGTACATCTTGCTCTCCCAACCTAAACTCAAAAGGAAATGCTACACATGTGTACTGGAAAGTTAGAAAAAGGCAGGCAGGAAAGAAAAAAAAAAAAAAATCCTTAAAAGATACCAGAGAACTTTTCTAATATTTTTTTAAAAATATTCATTTAAATCATCTTGAACTTTTTTCAAATTCATTTAACCACATTTTGTATTAATTTACAAAGCTGTACTCAGTGTTAAAGAAACAGTTCAAAATCAAATTTTGGTCAAAAAATGACATGAAAGGTTTTCCTTCTTTTGCATATTCACAACCGCTTGCCCTTGACTGAATGACAGACTTTAATTTTCATTCCTATCAGCCACGCAGAACCAAACACTTAATAAAAATGAGCTCAACTCCAATCTGTGTCTGTGCATCATCAATAAAAGAGATAACTAGTTAAGTTCCACTTGCACAGAAAATTATGTTGTCATTAAATCTTCATAACCTTATTGGAAACAAAGCATTACACAAGTCGCTGCCGACATAATAAGGAACAATACAGTTCTAAAAGTAGACAAGCATTTCCTGAAGTATCTTTAGTATTTCTGATGCTAGAGCATTAATAATTTCATATGGATTTTGAAACAAAAAGAAACAAACAAACAAAAAAACAACCCTATTTGTGACTTCAAAGATCCTTCCACATTTCACCTGGAAACAGGCTAAAACTAAATACTATTCCCACAGAACTTTTTTGAGTACAGTACCATCACACAGTACTGAGTTTGAAACATCTCTTCAGATATAAGGTCCTGCCTTTATGGACACTGAAATGGTTAAAGACTTCTGATGTTTGTTTTTTTCCTCAACTGATATTAATTGCTTTTTGGCACTTAAAGAGTAATAACACATTTTTTATTTAGTCAGTCCATAAGCAGACTGTGAGCAAAGTTTTTGTTTTTTTTTTTTTTGTTTTTTTTTAATTTTTGCAAATACAGATATTTTTAATATATTCTTGCAAACATATTGGAACTGAAGTTATTTCAAAAAATATTATTATTAGGTATAAGTGCTCTAACAAGTGGACAGGTGCACATTTTATAACTCATTCACATATAATTTGTATACAAAAATAAAATTCAACTTGAAATCCAGTCAATTAAAAAAAATTAAGTTTCAGTACTGCAAGTAATCCCAGGGCTGCCACCATACTTGTGTGCTTTTACAGTTCTCTTCATTTTTAAATCATTTCTTTTTTGTCCCTTACTGCACACAATATAAACAATTAGGACAACTCATTACAAGAGAAATAAAGAAATCCATACAACGCTGCACGAAATGGAAAACAAACAACTGCAACAAAAAAAGAACCAGAAACACCCATAATCCTGACAAAACCCAACCCAACTCCACCACTCATTTCATAGAATAATTGCAGGTACTACTTGGTTGACAATTTTCATACAGTAGCATAATATACGTTGACAAATGTCCAGATACAAAGGATGGTAACTGCACAACAGATGTTTCACACCATGAAAAAGGAAAAGTATTGGTGTTCACTGTTAGGAAAAATCTTCTACTTGTTTGCTTGCTTCCCAAACGTACAGGAACTGCTAGTTATTATCTGACAGAATCACAGCTGCTGATCATATGCAACTTGTACGCAATTACATACCATAACAACTAAGTGGAGATGCTTCATTTCCCCCATTCTGACCTCTTAACAAAACAAATTTCTCCATTCTCCCTGAAGAATGAATCGAGACCCTGAACAAACAAGATGAAAAAGGAAGAAATGTTCCTATTCTGAACTCTGTAAAAAGGCAAAACTTGTCGTTATGATTAACTACTGAATAAACTGTGATTAAAACAAGCTAACGCAATTTCACCGTCACACCACTCAGTGTTAAAGAAAACTAACTCACTGCTTGTCTTTCCAAAACAGCATAACAAAACTAGTTGTGCCATCTTCAAAGATCAGCTCCATGTATTTCCCATAAGTTCTTCAATAAGATGCTGCTGAAAGAAGTGGTTTGTTTTTTCAAAAGCAACATGACTTTTGTTGAGCATTCCTTTCAGTAAATCCTTCTAACAAGTATATCTGAAGAGGCTCTTGTATGTACTGGATGCATTTTATTCTGTATAGAAAAAAAGATCAACTCAACTAAAACAAAACAAAACTAGCAATAACAAAATGTGCAGTTTACTGTGCTCACTTTGCAAGGACAAAAACTTTCTTTCATCACCCAAAAAACAACACTGGTTTATTCCTCCTGACAGCTACTGCTGTCATTTTAATTTGAAAAACATTAAATCTTGTGGAAGACAACTAATTTTCCACCTTCCCTCTGAAGCTACTGGAAAAAGACAATCTATATATATAAATATAAATTATATAATTATATATATATATAAATAAAACAAGCATGTTCAAAGAACAAAATTTTGCAACTGATTTTGCATTCCTAAAAAGAGAGCAACTTTGAACAGTTTTAGAAAAGCAGTGGGACTTATCCTCCTAGTGTATTTGAAGGTTTTTCTCTCATTTTTTTAAATTTTGTGCTTTATTTGGCCACAAATCATAGCAGTGATAAGATGAATACACAGCACACAAAAAAAGTAGCAGGAGCCAAGTGTTGCAAACATTATACTTGCTGTTAAGAAAGGGAAGTATCTAAGCTAAATGTTTATCAAGTTATGTTGACACATGGAATGCCTAATTAACTTGACAGAACTTAAAAGTCTTTCTGACGATGGATGATTTTTTTTTTTTCCTCCACAAAAGAATTACTCACAGAAACTGATCAGAGCAGAACACAGCAGTAAAAAAACGGAAAAGTCCTTGAACAGAAGCGATTAGGCAGTAGTTTAAAAACAAAATGATTTTAGAACTTTAGACAAGCAGATACATCAAATTACATAGTAAACCCACAACTCAGTTTTGAAAGGAGGTTCGTTTCAGAACTTTACAGAAACATAAAACATTAAAGCCATCTTCATTGTGAACTATCATCTGCAAATTTGTTTTCATACTGCCTTACAATTAAGGCATCATGACAGTTTGCTTCCCCACTTCCCCAAATTTTCACCCATCCCATAATCCTGCTCAAGTGACAACGTCTGGTGGCAGATATGATGGATGTGTGTGGTTGAAGGCAGGTTTGGAGAGACAGAAAACAACGCCACAGCCAAGGGAAAACTCAGCACATAGTAAAACATACTGCTATTTCCCCTTGAGCATAACCCCTCATTCATTCCACAACAGACACTCATTACTGTTTAACACGTCATATAATTTATAACATTCACTACAGAGCATTAATTCAATAACTTTATACAGATACCATACAGAAGCCATGTCCTCTTCTGCTTACTGTCAAGTACAAAGCAGCTTACATACCTTAAAAATAAAGCTACACACCACAGTTGTAGCATACCGTACTTTGTGCCAAATAAAAGGTTGCAGTAGTGGCTTTTTGATATTTCAAGACAAACATGATACCACATAACAAACAGTTGTGCAAACTCAGGCCTGGAGGAGGACATAACTACCTCCTTTTTCCAGAACTACTTTTCCCTGCTTTACTGCTACTACCACCAGACTTGCTGGAAGACTTTGAAGAAAACAGTCTTGTCATGAATTCAGAGACATCTGGCAGCTCATGGTTCGAATTCAGCATGTTCATTGACTGCTCCATTTCCTGCATGAAAAAAATTAGACAACAGCTCTTAATAGCATTTTCTGTGACATCAGATCACACAGTGAACACGTATAAAAATTCTCAAACACAAATGGTAGCCTTCCAGAATACATGTTGCTACACATTTTTTACGCAACTGCAGCCAAATGCCCAGCTACACACAGAAACATAAAACCCCAAAACTAAAAGCACTGACATACAGAAGACGTAACCATGTCTTAAGCAGCCTTACAGGGCAACTAACTGCTCAGATAAAATCGTTTTCTCAGGAAAAATAATGCCATTAAAATACTTATTTCCAGCATTATAAAATACTTATTTCCAGCATTACTTGCTTCCATTTTAAAACAAAAGCTGTTGATCAGATTTTCAGATCCATATTCCCACAGATTGTGCACTCTTTCATTTTTTCACATTTTGCCTTCCCAATTTAGTATTGTTTATGCCAAAAGTAATAAAGTTTTGAAGGGACTGGGTATTTTTATTGCACTAATTCATAATATCAAGCTATTAGCGTAAAACAGCTAAGTTTCCTTTCTTGTTTCATGAGATCATATATTTAGCTAACCTTAACGTAACTTTTGTGTTTAGATCTATAAGAACTATGGTAGCCTTTGTTACTATTATATCTATTCTAAATCTGTACATAGCAATTGTGCTTGCTGTTACAGTATTTAATTATTAATGTTCTATATGAACAAGTATCGTGCTGATCCCATAAAAACAAGCTAGCTCAAAAAGTATAATATGAGCTCCACACCCAACACAAACAAAATGAAGTTAGGCACATGCTTCAGAATTTAATAAACAGAATGTTATTAATTAAAACTGAGCTGGGAAGAAGTATTTTCTCTCACCCTTCAAAGATAATTTAAATTATAAGCAAGATTCCTTCAACTTGCAGTTTCTCCTTAAGAAGTCAGACCTGTCAGCTAATGCAAACACTGGAACTTCTCATTGTTTGTCATCAGAACAGCTTACCTACATACAATGTCAAATGAGTTTAAAAAAAAATAAATTAGGAATAAATAATTTTTAAAAATTTCCAAAGCACAGCTTGGTTTAAAGAACATGCCACAGATACGTAGCATATGTACGTATTAAAATCAGAATTAAAGCCGTATAGGTCTGGTATTTTTACAATATGCATTATTTTATTAAATAAAAAAGGAAAAAAAAAATGGTTCAGACACCTATAAAGCACTACTGAAGACAGTGGTCATTTAGAGGAGTTTAAGCTAACCAAACCCTGAAAACACAGCCACCCAGGACAGACAAGGAATACTTCTAAAAACAAACGATTTGGCAAACACCTTGAATCTCCATTTTGTCCTAGCCTTCTGCTATTCGGCATTTTGCATGGCAAAAGGATAATAAATCAGATAATTTAATGACTACAGTAAGATTCTGAATCATACACGCTATTGCAACATCTCAACAGTCTTGTAAGCTCCAGAGTTAACAGATAAGAGAAATCCTTATCATACTCTTTGTAACACAGCTGACATTAAACAACATCTGAAAATGATGTGCTAGACTTAAACAGTGAAAAATACACTGAAAATTTTTCACACCAAAAAATAGCCCTTGAAAAATTACATTTATAGTTCTAAAGATATTTTGGAAAACAACAATCATGCTGTAATGCATTCAAAGCTTTCTAATTCAAACGCATTCAAAACTATTAATTCTGTGTTGTGCCATTTAATAGCAAACTCATTAGTCTGAATTAACAGAATTCATTATTTTAGCAGCAACATCAATAATTGCATTAATTATGCCAACAAGACATCCTCTGAAGTCCAGTTTTAGCTATCATTTCTCTGTACCGTAAGATGTCATTACATTTGTTCTCTGTATCTCCAAACCTCTGAAGCTACTCACCCGTCTCATATCAGGATCACTGGTGTTGACAACTTTAGGCAAAAGCACAAATATCAGTAATGGAAGAACCATCATCACAACCTATACAAACACACACACACACAAAAAAAACACCAAGTATTTATTCAGCTAATGTGATGCCAAGATATTTTTATACATCCTGCCATCAAGACTTTAATTAAAATACCAAGTTCTAGAACAACTGCTTTCTGAGTCAGTAACCTCCTATCAGAAATCCGGCTGTCAGGACAGAAACCAAAAGTTCCACACAACCGATATCAAACTCGGACCATTCAAGTAAACGTTTGCCTTTTAACTGCTACAATCTTGCAAAGTGTTCCTCTCTGCCTTAGAAGAACACCATGTTGTCAAAGGAACCAGGCTATGCAATATTTTCAGACAAAATACATTTAACAGAGTTGCTATGCAGGGAATGAAAAAAAAGACAAACAAAAAAAGCAACCAAGGCAAAACAAACAAAAACAACAACAAAAATAAAAACCTTACCAACACCAAAAATCAACCACCTCAGAAAAATAAATTACGCACATGTTTTGTGAATTATTTTTACTCTCCTTGTTCCAAAGAACTGCTAGATTTTGAACTGTTGCATATTTTTCCCTTTGTGTGCTGCTTGTACATACCATGGGGTTCATGAGGAAATCCGTCCATCCCCAAGATTCTCTCTTTATGAAGTATGAAGGAGGTCCAGAAGATTTCATCTGGAGTGGGTATGGCAGCCTGACAACTTCTGAGGTTTTGATGTAATTCACATATCTTGCTCTAAGGAACAAAATGTAAATAATTAAAAACACGATCTTTAATGAAAATTAATGATTATTAAATATTCCAAGCAAGGTTTTAAAAATAGACTGCAAATGAAACCATCTGGTAGGCAGTGTCAAATATGCTTCACTTTTCAGAAGCTTATTTTTCTCAGTAGAAATTATACTTCATATGATCAAATAATATTAATTTCAATATTAATTCGACTTCTGTCTACATTTTATTTCAGGATAGCTGCAGGAGAAAACAGCAAAAGCAAACCAACAGAAGAACTCCTTTTTAACTCACTCAATTCCACTTATTTTAAGGCAATAAATATGAAAAGAAAAAAAGAAGCTGTGCTCCAGAAGCAGCGTGAAAGGAAACTGGAATACACTGTCTGATATGGAAGCAATGGATCTACAGAACTTCCTAGATTACTTTTGATGTTGTGCTGTCAGGCACACTTCCTACATCAATACAGAAGCAAATCTGGGAAGGCTCACCTCATTTTGCCTTTTGAAGTTATGTCGACTCGAACAGGCTCAAATTTATGAGCAGGAGATATAACTTCTACTACATAAGATCCTGAAGGTACATCATGAACCACAAAGCTTCCATCTGTCCTGAATTAAAAAAAATACATATAAATTCCACTGCATTTCAACATACTCCAATGTACTGGAGGTTGGTTTTGTTTATGTCCCCAAAGAAGAAACTTTGTATCAATTTCTATTATAAATCTTTATGATAACAACCAAAAGGAAAATTAACATCACTCAGTACCAAGCCCAATAATGTCATTAACACGTATCACAATACCAGCAGAAATGGCCAGTTACATTAATTTCCTATCACAGAACGGCTTGTTAAGCCATTGTCTTGCTGGAGGAATAGCTTAAAAATCTAAGTAGTAATTGAAATGGTAAGATTTCTTGTGCTCAAATGATACAGTGAAATTTACTTTGCTTCAGTAATTCCGCTGAAATTAAAAAATAAATAAATTGACTTCCTCCATTGTGTGGGCAGTCATTGAAACTGCAGTTTCTGCCCGTACAGCAAAACAGACAGGTTCACTTTTAATTGCTTCTTTTAGAACTAGCCCACGCTAGAAAGCTCTATCACAACAGTGAGGAAACTAAGAGCTCTGAATATGAACATAGAAGTGATTTTTAGACAGATTGTTTTTATTTTAAAGTAACTTCAATGTTCATTGAAAATAACTGAGAAAGGATACTTGAAAGATTCAGCACAAGCTGTCATCAAATTAAAGTACAGAAGCTTGTAGGTTTCCTCCTACATGCTTCCAGAAGCTTCCAAGAAGGAAAACTTTATGTTCTCTGTCAAAAATTAATCTAAAATATACTCCTCCTAAAAATATTGCTCATAGTTAAGACCAAATAAGTTCTTCAAAAGCAAAAAAAGTAAAAAAAACCCAAACAAACAAAAAAAACAAAAACAAAAAACCCCGAACATATTTGAAACACATCATGAAAACAAATAAATGAACTTCCTTAGAAGTGATTTCTGTCTTCATATCAGCTCTCTCAAAATTCTACACGACTTTAGGGCTCTCCCACAACCAAGACAGAAACAGCAACATGTAGGTTGATTTCTCTAATATTTTATGTGACGTCTTGAACCCCTAAAAGAAACACTAACATTATCGTACTTTGAAACTATATTAAGGACTTTCTCTGGGAATTCCCTTTCAATTTTCCCATTCCAAGCAGTAGTATTTTGATGAAATTTGACTACTGTTTTTCAAAAGACTCATTTGACAAGGTAATTTCTAATTTCATGTACTGATACACAATAGCGCCATTCTCAAGAAATAAAAAAGTTGAACATTTACTTCAGTGAGGAAACTTATCAGATTTTAAAAAATGCTTGTAATAGAAAATTGCTCTTGAAATATTCAGCAGTAACCTTGCTATGTCAAATAGTTATTTCCCTCTTATTAGTAACCGAAATGTCATTAATAAATAACCCAAACTTTCCTGAGAAATGGCGAGAAATATATCTGCTGATAACCCAAATATACTCAACCCTGTCAGCAGAAGGGAAGGATCCTTCTACTCAGCCTCAAATAGCACTGTTAATGAAAAAATGTATTTCCTGTCATGCAGATCTTACCAGCAGTGACCTACCAACCACCCAGTAAATTGCAAGTGAACAAAATACTACATATCACAGCTTGTAAGCTGAAACATACCATACTTGTGGCGGCACAGCATCTACATAGATATTCATCATTAATTAATTAAACATTAATTTCTTGGCTTTGTGTTATCACATTATCTGGTGAGTCTATCACTAAATATACAAAAGCGATGTTACCAAAAAAGTTTGTTAACCAGGTTTTGCTGTTATAAGCGTTGTGTGCTTTTAGCTGAGATTATTTCCTCACATTTCAGATAACTCCAGCTACAATTAAGTATTTAGAAACACATCAGCCCCACTGTGTTTTTATATGAGATGTAAATGTGATGCAAGACACCTGTAGCTGGGTTGAACTGCTCCATCAGATGTTATACTGACAAGATCTGTTGTGCAAAGTAAGACCTGCTGTGTTTGCCTATAAACAGATCCCAGCTTTTGCTGCAGAGGGAAAAACACAAAACAGCTGTATTTATAAACTAGTACATCTTAATCCATCTGAACTTCCTCATTTTAATACGTGATTTTAAGAACAAGATATTACACTGCACAAAAATCACAGACTTCAGAATTATCTTCGACTGCGAAATGATTATCGTTCTTAGTTCTTAGGGTTATTTCTTAGGGTATCTTCTGAGTATCCCCAGAACCCCAGCTGATCGGAATATACTCACTCCGACCTGAGAGGACTTACATGATACTTCTCTATGCATGTGCATCATCCCTCTACACAGCTTTTCCTGCTACGGTTAAGATTTCACGGGTACTGTTAAAAAGTCCCACCATCAGCAAGGTGACTCAGCGCTGACACCTAGCAGCCCAAAAGCCCGCAGCCTCAGGCAGGATCCCCCCACAGGATCTCGCGGTCTCAGAGCGGGACGCGGGAGCGACTGAGGAGCCCCGCGGCCGCCGCCATCTTGCGGCCAGCCCCGCGCCAGGGCGGGGTGCGGGATAGCGACCCGCGGCACCGAGGGACCCCCCGGCAGTGCCACCCCCCGCCCGCAAGGCGCTCACTTCAGAAAACCGATGTGCTCCTCCCCGTCCACGAGCACCCGAGCCCCCGCGATCCAGTCCTGGGGCTTCACCCCGGGCACTACGGCCCGGCCCTCGATCTTAAACCGCTCCCCGGGGCCCGCGCCGCCCGGCGACTCCACAGTCCCGGCCGCCTCCGAGCCCGCGGCGCCGGGGGCCAGCGGTGACGCGAAAAGGCAGAGCAGCACCAGCGACATGAAGCCGCCCCGCGCCGACATGGTCGTGACCATCACCGCCGCTCAGGTGCCGGGGCGCATGCGCAGAGCGCGACACACCTCAAATCCCCGGGACGGCCAACACCAGAAGCACGGCGACAAGCTCTCTACGCGTGCGCAGCGTGCCGCGAGAATGTATTCGGTGCTGTGCGCTTGCGTATAGGAGAGTGAGGCGCCGACATTTTGTGTCACGCGGGCGAGCCAATAAGAACGTGAGCTGCGCGCCCGTGATACGGAGCGAAGCGGAAGTGTGCTGTTCTCTGCCGCCGCGAGGCGCTGCGTGTATGTGGGGCCGCTTCATCATACTGAGGGATTGGGGCGGGGCATCGCCCTGCGTCGCTTCTGCAGGGAGGGGATCTGTGAGCTGGTGGCACGCGGCGTCTCAGAGCACAGGCTGGGGAAATGGCAGAGCGAGTTCCCGGTTTGTTTTTTGTTGTTTTTTTTTTTTTCCCCTCCAGCATAAGGCCATCTGCAAGAGATAACGCAGGACACGGATGTGAAATGAAAGAACATGAAAATCTGTCAATAACGTTAGCTTGAGGTGCTTTCTTAGAACCGTAGATCAACGCAGGCTGTTTCTGATGCTCCCCTGAAGCCTGCAGGCAGAGCGGCAGCACGAAATGCTGCTGATCGCTGTGAACAGGTTCAGTGCCAGGCCACGAGAGCTGTAATACCTGCCCTGCCTATTTCCCTTCCACATTATGTCCTGTCGTGTCACACGTACCCACTGTCACATACAACTGCCTCCTCAGCTGTTGCTTAACATCAGAGTTAATTACTGAACTCATTAGAAATATTACTTAACTATTAAAGCATGTTTGGAGATTATGAACATAGCCCTAGCCCTCAGCTGATACTAAATGAAAACATTTTACTATGCCAGACACAATTCTGAAATCATGCCTCGTGCCATGAGAGTGGAATAATGTGAATGATGTCTCCATTACTATTCTTGAGCTGTGCTGTTCTATTTTGGATGGCCAGGATGAATGAGGTTATTCTGTTGCATTAAGTCACAAAAGTTGAAACACCAGCAGTTTTGGAAATGGAAACCTATGTGTTTTAAGTGTTCTATAACTGATCGGTGCTAGAAAATAGCTTCTCTGAGTTGTAGGAGTTGGTAGTCACTTTTTTTCCCACTTCGTTGATGAAGCAGATCCTTGAAATAAGATCACCAAATAGCAGCATGTTATAGGAAGCCAGAGTGCTATTTCCAGGATGACACTGGCAGAAGATAGCATTTCATACTGGCATATCACATTACTATATTTATACGGAGCTACTGGAGTAATTCTACTTAAATATCATTAAGGAGGGACGGAGATGCTCTCACGTCACAGTGTTCCTGCCCCCCAGTTTTAAGGAGTTCATCAACCATAGATTTGTAAGTACTAAATATAAAGAGTCAGGAGACTTATTTTTATAATATAGACAGTACAGTTAATTAAGTTTTAAGCCTAGTGAGCCCAAATAAAAGAAAACCACGTTGGTCTTTCACACTCTCTATCTAATCCAAGAAACTTCTCTACATGCCATCCAGCTAACAAACTGACACATTAGTTAGTCTCTTCTCTATTGTCCTTTCCTCCTGTAGAAACTCTCCCTGAGCTCAGATTTCAGATACATATCTTTATTGTTTTTATACAGTTTCTAATAGCTGTATGGGCACAAAACTTTTATACATGTACTTAAGCAGTCTTTCTGCTCTTACTGTGGAACTTTGCATATTAGAAGATGTACTTCATACAGATACACTGGTTATCACATTTTGAAGCGTACACAACTGAGAAAATAACACATTTGGTGAATTACTGCCTTTTTCATTAAGATTAGCTACATTAGCATTTGAATGGATTACACAATGATATTATAAGCTTTGATATCATGGGGGTGTAGGCGTCTACCTTCTAGGTAAAAATAACCAAACCCCAAAAATATAGTACAAATAAAATACATGAAAACGTTCAGGTATACACTTATCAAAGCCAACTACTGTGTTTCTCAGTGCTTTATCTGGAAGGCTTTTTCTATTTCTTACTGGAAGAATTTTCACTATTAGCCAGGTTCTGGCTGTAGCTTGATGTCAAGGGAACAGGTAAAACAACCAAGCAACAGTTTCAATTTACTTTGAAGCAATGGAACCATTTCATCAGCCTTCTCAAAATGCAATCAAGAGCAACCTCCATGTTTGAGAGCTGTCTCCTCATTGAGGAGTTCACTTGACTAACAGCTACATAGAAACTGGCAAATTTCAAATAGTTTCTGCCCTGCTCACAAGCACATTCTCACTTCTGTCAGATTGGGTTCATTCAACCAGCTGTCACTTTGTGCAAACCTGTCAGCCAGATGGATGAATCCCTAATGGGCTGAGCACAGTGAAGGTCTAGACTAATGTAATGCCATCACATTGATAATACTGAAATCTGTATCTCCAGGTTCTTGTCACTTCTAGTCTTGTGTACAAATTGAAAAGCAGAGAAGACGCATTAAATCCCTCTGAACTTCCTAAATGCATCACAATGCACGAGCATCACAGCTGTTTGGAAATAATTGAGTATTCTGGGATACTGGTGAATAGAAGAAGCAAGAGAGTTTCCTCACCCAAGAGAAAAATGATTTTTATACTTAAAACTTACTTTTGTGCTGAATTTTTTCCACAGTGTTAACACTAGAAGCTTACTGTATACAAGTCTGCTTGTAGTTCAGGATTAGCAAAGCATTTTTGTAAGTTTAAATGCAACTTTGAACATTTCAGTGCAATTGCTCTGAACACTTCTATTTATATAAAGCTGATAACACTTTGACTAGTATTTAATTCGCTTTTGGAAATGAACAGGATGCTGTTAATTGACACTGATTTACTTTAATACACTGGACATCCACTGGACCACAGCCAGCAGCAGCCCAGAACCTGTTTCCTGTGTGATTCAGCCACATGCAGAGCTGTTGGCTGTCAGCAAACAAGAAGGGAGCAGCCATGGCCATCTTACTATAGTCTTATCATGTTCTCTGAGCAGGGCCCCCAGCTGCTGTGCAGGTATTGAGGTCATGCCCAGTATACCAGAACAGTGCCATTTCACAAAAGCTCTATGGAATCAAGGACAAAGACATGACTGATGTGAAAAACAAATAAGAAGTTGATGTGCATCAGAACACCCACACTTACATCAGTTATACTGTCTTTTGAGGATAAAAATTGGTATTATTAAAAAAAAAAAAGAAAAACAAAAACATCACAAACCAAGCACAAGAGAATTGTGTTTATGGAAGCAATCACATCAGGATCAGCAGAAGGCCACAGCCAGCTAATGCATTCACTGAGCTTTCCCCTTCACAATCAGCTTTGTGTAAATAAACGCAGAAGAATTATTCTTTTTTAAAAATTCCTACTGATGTATACTGAAAAGCAGCATCATTCTGCCATCTACTGACATTTTACAGTGCTACACCAGAAGCATTTAGCAGGAGTAGACTTCAGCAACAGTGTTCATGTTGTCCCGAAGGTATGATCCCCTGAGAAGGTCCTACTTCTGGCTTCCAGCAGAATTATTTCCTTTCTACTGGTAATAGGCATCTGAAAGCACAAATAGGGTAATACCTTCATACACTCTTCATAATGCTGACATTAAGATCTATTGCCAGATGACAATTTGCTTTACCTGGTTGCAATTGATTGAACTCAGACTACATCCTGTAGAGGAACAAATTTAATTAGTTCAAGTATGAGGAAAAGGCTTTGAACTTTTTTTTTTTTTTTGAAGGAAAAGGAACATAATTTTCATGCTGTAAAAAGTCCCACACCCTCTCTTGCAAGCAGAACAAATATGGGCGTAGCATGATGGTAACATGGAAATTGTTTTCACAAAGCTTTGAAGTGCTCATCTCCTATTTACTACAAAATGTATCCACATCTCTCTTTTAAGCAGAATTTGTGCACGAACTGTGCAAGCAGGGTGTCTAAGACATACAGCAACCGCTAAGCTGGCTGCACAAGCAGCAGCTCTGCATGGAGCAATGCTACACATGGACTCAGATGCCTGAGATCTGGTTTGTGTGGATACCACCTGTAATCATTCACCTACTGCTCTAATGGAACATTCTTGGGACATTCGGTTTCCAAAAATAAAAAAAGTGTAAAATCCTTGCTTCTTGGAATGTGCTTTAAATGCCATGCTTCCCACCCTCCCCCCCAACTGGGATTCCACTCACATAATGCCACAAGGCAGCCACTCCATAACAGTGTTATCATATCCCTTGCAGAACCATAGCTATCTCTATATATTTTTCCTTTCTTTTCTTCAACTATTGATAATGTAGCACAACAAAAATAGATTTTTTTCCTTTGTATTTCAATCTGAAGATATTCAAATTATTTGTGGATTCACATCACACGGAAGGTGCAACATGGAGAGGGTCACAGGAACTTTGGTAGGATGTTCTAGCAGAAGAGGATCCTATCCAACAACCAAATAAAACATTCAGCCTCATCTGCGAGGTCTCTGCTTGGGGAGATCTTGTGTCCAACATGCAAAAGGCAGCTGTAATACATATAGCCTTAAGCAGTTGCCTAATTACACTAGAGATGCTTCTGAATGTGAGGAGGAATGAAGGAGGGGAAGATCAGAAACAACACTGAGTTAGGAGTGTAATGAAATTGCATGCTTTTTTTTTTTTTTTCCAAGGAGGTGGTTGTCCAAAGGCTACTAACAGTTGATTTGCACCATTTGTACACCCACTTTTATTTTTATTTTTATTTTTATTTTTTTTTACATTTTTGTAGTGGGAGTTAAAAAAGTTGAGAGTCCAGCTGGAGCCAGATCAGCACTTTCTAGATGACAAATGTTCTCTTTGGTGTATCAGATACAATATATACACTGCTGCAGTATCTACTGCTAGCAAATTTGAAACCAAACTAACAATGAAAGAAACAAAACCTGTACACTCACTGTATTTGACAAAGCCTTAGAAGCAAAGCTTAGCCTTCAACTCATTCTTAAAACAAACAAAAAAAACAAGCCAACACTCCAGTGGTTCTGAATTCACTTTGCTAGTT